ACTCACACTTGTATCTAATGATGTATCTAAGGGTATAATTATCAATATTATCATTTTTAATTGAAAGATTGCCAATGTTCAGTAATCAAGGGAATACATCTCGATTAAAACTGGCTTTTCGAAAAAGTGCAGAAGGGCAAACAATTTTAAAAATGATGCATTGAACCAATGGTGTCACAGTAATAATTTATTTGTAACACATAGAAAAGTTTGGTGGGTTTTAGGGGTTCAATACCCCCCTAAAATGGGCTGAACAGATTTAGTGGTTTTATATGAAACGCTCTTACGATAAGAGAGCCATGGATCTATTTTCATTGCCTACATATAATGTTCAACAGTTCATGAAATATTGAAAAAATCGATTTTCTTTTAGTACTTTTCAAGGGCTGAACTTTTTTGTGTTCAAATTCGCCCTAAGGTAAGTTATATCAAATCGAGTTATTTTTGACTGCAGAAAATGTGGTTCAATTTGTGACCTACATTTTTGTTACACCCTGTATGTTGTAAGATCTGGGTAAATATTCGTTTCAAGGGCACCCGGCGGTTTTGAAAAATTGTTTGAGTGTATTTACGTATTTTGATGCGTAGATTACGAATCCGAAAGAAAAAAGCGGCGCTCTTCCTTATTTGCAAAGTTATGGCCCTTCAAAGTTCAGGAAAGGGCAACTTTTCAGCTTTCTTTTTCAAAAGATAAACTGTTTTAAAACACAAGCATTTATTCAGCAGATGACCTTTACAATTTATTCCTTCCTAATTGACACTTTTCAATTCAACAATCAACATTTTTCTTATAAAAAACTTAATTTAAAAACGAATGTTTGCATCAGTCGTACCAACTATGCCAATAATCTTCAAAACGTAAAATACAGAAATTACTAACCAAAAAGCATCTCCATACATTTTTATTGGAAAAATGTTGATTTTTGCAGTGAAAAGTATCAAGGAAGGAGGGATTAGGTGGAAAGGTGACCTAATGAATAAATGCTTGTGTTTTTAAATAGTTCATCTTGTGAAAAAGAAGGCTGAAAAGTTGCCCTTTTCTGAACTTTGAAGGGCCGTAACTTTGTAAATAAGGGAGAGCGCCGCTTTTTTCTTTCGGATTCATAATCTACGCATCAAAATACGTAAGTACACTCAAAAACATTTTCAAAATCGCCGGGTGTCCTCAAAACGAATATTTACCATTCCTTGTCTCTGACTTCTCAAAATTTCAGTGATCCTTTATTAGTCCTCCTGCGTAGGTTGGGACACCGAACAAAACATATTATTTCAAATATTAAAACATCAAATACCAACCTGCTAATTCAGCCCAAGATGTTCGAGTTTCTTATTCCTGCCGGCACAAAAACAGTACCCGACTTCCACGAGAGCACATGTTTCGCTAAAAAAATCGACAGAACAATCACATACAACATTCCGGCATACGACTGCGGTACTCTGTACGGTGCGATGCGAAATCACCACATTTATTTGTTGTTGTTTTGGCAATGCAATAATCCGATTGGTAGACGGTACCTTTTGAATAGTTCGAACCTCGCTAGGCTATAAAAAATTGCGTTCATGTTATTAATGAAATTAACATGGTCTTGAAAATACTGGGGTTCTGCAAGTACTGGATCAATTATACTAATTTTGCATATAGGTATCTACCTATCTATTGTAATGAAGCGCATACAGTGCGTAGCGGTTAAAACGGTATGTTATTTGATACAAAATGGTTAAGGTTTTCCTGGCCGAGGTTTTCACTATTTTTCGGATTTGAAGGCCTTAGATTTTTGGAAATTCTTCCTGATGTTTCGCTGGCGCGACTGGCTAGCTTCTGAGTTATCTTCGATGACTGGATATTACGGCTGCGTAAGGCGTATTTATATTGACTCAGGTAGTTTGGTGTGATAATAGCTGTACCTGGAATAGGTTAATTGACAATAACATTCATCGACCCTTTTCTATCTACTATTATGCTGTTTGCTATTCTTGAACTTCTTAGAATGGGATTTCATATTCGGTTCGCAGCTTCTTCTTTTCTGTGGAAAATATCCGTGTGCTTGTGGATCTCTGCTATGATCCACAGTGGCTATGATATTCCTGGTTGGGATATCATAGCCAGTGGCGATTCTAAAACTTAAGGGCGGGGGGGGCACATTATAACTAGGCGCCAAGATTCAGTAAAAAGGCACAGGTATTTGAAGTAATACTGTATTTCCCATTAGGAAAAGAAATAATATCACAAAACTCTAATGAAAAAATATTTCAATAATGAACAATGCGCACTATCAAAAAGCCAGCATACAAATAAAACATTTTATTACCTCTTGGAGAGTAAACTAACCATTCACGTACGCTGAGCTGTCCAAAAGTCGTTTTTTTGAGTTTGTACCACGAAACGTGAAATTTTCTGTAATTGGAAACTGGAAAGTCTTAGAAGTCATCTGATTACGCAGGTTGGCAAGGTCCTTTTAGAATTAGTTGACGTATTTTTGAATGAAAATGGGTCGACGACACAATTAAAATATCAATTATAAATTGATCCACGTAAAAACAAAATGTTTTTCCCACCTTTATTCTCAGCAGACATCTTATCAGAACCGTCTTGTTCTTGAGTAGGTACTGTCACTATCCAAATCCGAATTAAAATCTACTTCCGTGAATGTTGAATCAGCAAAACCTAATGAAAAATCGGATTTTGTTCTTACTTTATAGGTTGATGTAGATGGAACATCAATAAATGTTGACTCCGTTCTGACCGTTCTCTCCGTAGTGTCAGTTTCATTTGGAACCGATTCCTCAACACAACTTTGAGTTTGAATTAATTGTTCTTTTGTTTCTCTGTAAATGTATAAGTTTCCATAATGAATACGATTTCGGATCTTCAACTGAAAATTAAGAACTTACGAATTGAAAGTTTTACAAAAATTTTATTTTGTTTGAGAATGTGATGTAGCAGCATATTCTAACTTCTTCTTTTCGCGTAACTTTCGATAATCTGCTCGACAAACTGTTTATTCGTCAAAGTAACAATAACAAACCAGACTACTACTACTGCTACGAGTGCCACGCCAAAATACAATTAATTTCCAATCTTTCAGAAAATGATCACATTCACATCAAGGTGCGTATTCACCAAAAAAGGGAGCATTCGTGTATATTTGCTCGTGTTCTCTCATGTTCTCTCGTGTTTGCTCGACATATTGATGTTTCGTCCACACTAGAGCGAATATCTTCAAGTTCCTAGTCGTAGTTGATCTATCTACTTTGTGCGAGTACCTTTTGAAATACCGCCTTCTTCTCGATCTTTTCTGAACGCGAACAAGCATACGTTGGCTCGCTCGCTTGTCAGTACTCACCAGACGATTATTGATGTAGAATGCTCGTTCACTCTTGCTCGCTCGTGCTCGTACGCACCTTTAGACAGCGAGCGATATGTGTTTCACAACTTCTTCTTCTTCTTATGGCTCTGCCTTTTCGGCAATTTGCCAATGTGTTTCACAACTGATCGAAGTCGAGGTATTAAAAGCGAATTTTGCCACGTTTATTGGTTTTCCGTGTTATGTACCTAACAATAGATTTGTGAAATATTTAAAATCGGAAGGGCGCTAACAACAACATTTTGCAAAGGGCGGGTGGGGCATACTGCCCCCCCTTGCCCCCCGTGGCGCCGCCACTGATCATAGCCGAGTTTCGTGTTTTCAAACGGAATTATTTGGTTTCCTTCACTGAGTGCATATTCCGCCACAGCTGACTTGTCTGTTTGGCCCAGTCTGCAGTTTCTTTCATGCTCCTTCAGTGTTGTTCCAATAGATCATTTGGTGGTTTTGATGTATACCTTCCCAAAAGTGTACGGTATGCGATACACCCCTGCTGGTAATGGGTCTCTCCTGCATTTAGCGGAGCTGTAACTTTCTTGTTATTTCTTGGTAGGTTGGGAGACCGTTTTAAGGTTGTGTTTCTCCAAGAGTCTTCTAATTCAGTCTGTAACCCTAAAGATGTAAGGTAGACGCACGTGCAACCATCTGAGACGTCTGCCCATTTTGATCCGAAGAACTCTTCAGTTCCATGGCCTTGTTTATCTCGGGTATACTGTATCCATTCGATCTTGAAGTCATTTAAAGGTGTTTCAGTTCTTCCTCCAGAAGCTCTGTTCACATTCTTCAAGCTCGTTCCATTACAGTGGAGATGACTCCTCTGTTTTGACTAGGGTCGACAAAGTTCTGGCATGAGCCGTAGGCGAGTCCTGGAAGTCTACGAGTCCAAATAACTGTCATCGGACGTGTTGCGTACACTATTTTTTTCGGCAACTGTGTAGAATAACAAAATCAATGAGACACATTTCTTTGTCATTCTTTGTAAAAGAAAATCTCAAAATTCTGTGATTCTTATTCTGAGATTCTCAAAACTGTAGATACCAACAGGCAGAATCGAACATTTATTTTTTCAGTAATTCACGAATTATCTTCTAATTAAGTGCTTTACTTTTAATTCAGTGCTGAGTAAGGAAACGAGGGGACCATCTCATTTGCAGAAAAACATTCGCTTCATACTCCAAACATTCAATTTCGCATTGAAACAGATATCATCGCAACGTAACAAAAAACATGAAAGAGTATTGCTATACATTATTTTTTATACTAGGTGAATGGGAAAAACTTGTTTTTGAAGGTTTTTTCCAGTTTGTATTTGAAAGAAACTTCTGCTTATGATCTATAAATATCTGTATGAAGAATTTTAATTGAAGTTATTTTTTCCCTATACAAATTTCCAAATTTTTTTGTTCAATCATGGATGATTGAAATGCTAGAAAGCTCAATTCCTAAAACAAATTTTTCAAATTATGAAGTCCAATAATCTGAGTAGTACATTCCTTTCTGTACTTAATCGAAAGCGAGGTGCCAACATTGACTGCATTCCCTGACTACTTTCGCCAATTACTCACCACAAAACAAGAAAGAGTTTTATGTCAAATACATTCCCCAGTTGTTTTATAAACATTCCGCAAGGGGTTCCAAACTACCAAATACTAGAGCATAGAAAGGATTCTGTGATTAAAGTGTTATATTTAGTGTGTTGTTGTGTATAAAAACTTAAGTTTTCTAATTTGTTTATTTCAGTTTCTTCATTAGCTCCATTTATGAACGCGATTAAATTTTCATCAATTAGTGGAGCAATAAAGCGAGTGACTATAAATAGAAAAATGTGTTGGGATGTGTTGATATTCAAAAAAACCTAATTAGGTTATGTATCACGTATGTTGTTGACAAAATTACCGTTGCTACTAAAATTCTTCCAAGAGGCGTGATAGCCTACTTGATACTTCCAGAGAAACATCTCATACCTAGAAAGAACTACGAGCAACATCATGTTCAGCAAAAAAAAGAAGAAACCACAGATTTCACAGCCTATTAATTTCGAGCATAGAGTGCACACAGGATTTGACAAACGAGAAGGAAAATACGTGGGGCTTCCTTTGCAGTGGGCTTCGATCGTTGGAAATAATCAGATACTTAAATCAACAAACAGGCCTTTGCCTCTAGTTGACCCATCAGAAATAACACCGACTGAGATCCTTGACTTGAAAACTATCGTTCGAGGTGATCACAAACATGAAAACAGACTTGGAGCTCCTCAGGCAAAGCCAAATAGTGGAATTGTTCTTCCAAAAATGTCAAATGTGGCCCGATCCAATTCTTTGAGATCCTCCAGCCCTCCAAGGTTACGCCGTGAAAACAGAAACAATGCAAATGTGCCTCCGTCTGTGCCAGAAGAACAAATTATTCAATATTCTTCCATGAGACGGGATCCTAGTATAAGTGAGTATTGAAGTTTTTCTTTGTAGTATATTTTTCTATGTAGATTGTCCGTGTCCAATGATTGTCCGTGTCCAGCAGAAGAAACTAATGGTTTTCAGATTGTTTTGAAGGGATATAAAGTAAATTTAAAAAATTGTGTAATTTTTCTGGTAACATAAAGAACCTAGTGATGAGCCCGATTTCATTTATTTGTAAATAACACAGACTTTATCTCATATCTCATCTCATTCCAATAAGTTTTCAAACTTTTGCCAATCCAATTGAAATGATACTTAGCTTGCCTTTAGCATTCAGAACTTTTCCACGTTTCTGAAAATCTAGTTGAATCCTTCGTAGAATCCTATTTGTAAGAGAGGTAGTAAATTAGTCAAATATTGGGATTTGCACGGCTGTTTGCAATCTGACATACCTTAACTTCACATGTGTTATTTTGTCACTGTGATCAGATTTAAATCATTGGGTTTCTACAGATAAATTAAATTGAACTTCATTTTGTCATTATTGTTTATTGGCGTAATCGACCAAGTCTCTGAACTGAACAACTAGTTGAAGTGAGAGTTATCAATGAAAAAATTTATTTTTGGAAGAATCCCTGCAACTTTTGTTTATTTGTTTCTGTGGAATAGCTCTGAATATGGAAAATTATCTAGTACATCAATATGCAATAAGGATGAATACCTAGAATTATTAACTGCAGTGTTTTCAAAGGAAGAGGCCTGATAAATTGTTTCTTGGTGCTTTACGTGCAACTAATTATAGGCTATGTAGCTCAAGAACTAAAAATGTTGCCATACCAGTGGCTTTGCTGGTGAAATATATTTTTCAGTAAATTATTTATTGACTTCAAGTATGAATTATCAACGTCTTTTAGCTGAGTTGTAGAAATGAAAAAGAAAACAAAATGTTATATTGGGTATTTTTTATTTCAAGGTAAGCCGCAGGTGAGAGACACATCACCAGCAGAAAGATCACTGAGTAATCATGAAGTACCAAATACCCAATTAAATGGTAACCTACCTGAACCATACGCGGGTTTCCCTCCAAGAGATCACCCACAGATATCACCAGCTGGTTCTATGATATCTACTGGTCCACCTCCAATGGCTCTCTCCCACCTAGCCCCACAACCTCACCTGAGTCACGGGTCCCACCAAAGTTTGCAGCATACTTATCCCCCAAGGGCTGATCAGAATCAAAATGTTAAGAACGGTGTGCAGCCCCCTCCTGTGCATGTTCCTGTTAGTACAGCCGGACAATCAGCAGTAACCAAACACCATGAACAACGACTTACGCATGAACAAGTAAGTTTTTTTTAAAGTATAGTAAGATTGATAGCTTCATCACATTGAAACATGAAGATTATTATACTAGAAAACAAGTAACATCTGCTTAAAAACTGTATGAAACACGTTTTTTTTAAATTTTACCCAATAGTATATTGTTAGAACACCAATATTTGAATTCAGTTGCTCTTAATATTCAAGTTCAAGTTAACGATATAGTGCAACCTATCTTCCAACAGCTCCCTTTTAATAATATAGTTAGGGAGCTAACTAATTTCATTATTCGATAATCATTTCTAATTATATTCTTCGAAAGCTCCTGATAATTCCTCTTCCATATTCTCTGTTTCACTATCACTGTCGTCATTTAAATCAATAATGAATATATTTCCACCATTAATATGGAATTGTCCAATCTCCATATAGTCTTTTTCAACTTAAATTACTTTTTTAATCCTTTTCTGCCATTCTTCTTCGGTAATATTAGATAATTCTTCTTTAATTAGCTCTATTACCTTCTTATCAAATTTTGGAAAATTATTTTTACGCCTTATGCTTTATTCAACTCGATGGGATTGAAAACACACTAATTGGGGGAAGTCTCAGTATGGTGTGTCCATACTTTTCTGCAATACTCTCAAGGGCATACACTTTTTCAAATGTTTTTGTTTGTTAAACTTCAAGTAGTTGGTTTTTGGTACAGTAATCTTCAAAATACAAATTGTTATACATTAAAAAATACATTAAGAACTCATATTTCATCTTTCCTCGAATTTTTATTTGGTACTTTGGTGAGCTGTCGCGAATAATAGGAAGCTTTGTCAAGAACTATTACACTATTCGCATCCAAATTTGGGATCAATGTGTTTGCAAACCATTCCTCAAAAATATTAGCTTCCATGTTCTTATGACTGTCAACATTGCAGTCCTGAAGTTTTTTTTCACATAATTTCAAAGAATTGGGAACCCATCCATTACTTCCTCCGTAATGCACAATGATTAGTCGGGATCCTTTTTTTGCGCATGTTAGGCGTACACATTCTCGAATCATCAGTCCACCCTTTTGTAAATGTGTCGTGAGTGTCATACCAAGTTTCGTCCAAATAAAAGATTTGCCGTTGTTCTTGTCTATATTTAGTCATTTGTTCTAAGTATTTGTTACTCAATTCCACCATTCTTCTGCTTTCCATAACTGCTTGACGTTTGTTTATTATTTTAAAACTAAATCCTAATTTATTTAACCAATTCTGAAGAGTTTCGTCACAGCAGCTCACGTTATGACCTGAAGTATTCAATTTCTTCCTTATGATTTTAGTTGTAGGAATCTCATTGCTTTTGTAACAGTTGTATATTGTTTTTTTTTTCAATGAATTTATCAGATGAACATCTAAAGATTTTGGTAATCCTGTATCACATCATGTCTTGCGTTCATAAGGTTTGTTTTTTACCATTTTACGTAAAGATGAGAAAGGAATTTTAGATTCAGATAACAAAAATTGCACCAATATCGATCATTACCTGAACCGCACACGACGGCGATAACCATCCCGGCATTCCAGATTTCTATTTTTCACCATAACATGACTTCAAATTTAATTTTATGACTCTTCAGGCAATTATAAAACTCGGTTAGTAAAAATTATCCAATATGAACCGCCTATTCTGCAGTCCCCGTGGACTATTTCGCAGCTGCTTCATTTCTATGTATTGGTTTTTTTGGCCTTTAAGAATGCCGCCATCTTTAAATATTCTTAATATCGTTTACTTCGACTACACTTATTTTGTGATAAGAATTGTAATTCATGAAAACAATGAAGAGTACCAGGCCCACTATAGAACCCTGTGGAACACCCATATTGATTTTTTTTTGTTTGATTTATTATTATTTGATACTACGATCTAATTCCTATCTTTGCATTTACTGTTGTGTTTTCAAAATAGATTCATACTGGGAATTAAACAAGCCTCATCATATACAGAGTATTATTTTTGTTACACTCCTTCAGAAATGATTGTTTCAAATCATAGCTTGTCTGATGTCAGGAATTGTGTAGTTACCAATAAGGATGTTTGTTTTTCAGTTCAGAGCAGCACTTCAAATGGTAGTTTCTTCAAAAGACCCCCGAGAAAACCTCGAGAGATTTGTTAAAATTGGAGAAGGTTCTACTGGCACAGTATGCATTGCCCATGACAGAAACACTGGCAGACAAGTAGCAGTAAAAAAAATGGACCTGAGAAAACAACAACGAAGAGAACTTTTATTCAATGAGGTAGTAATCATGAGGGATTACCATCATCCCAACATTGTCGAAATGTTCGATAGTTATTTGGTGAACGACGAGCTGTGGGTTGTTATGGAATTCCTAGAAGGAGGAGCTCTCACTGACATAGTAACACATGCTAGAATGGACGAGGAACAGATAGCGACTGTTTGTAAGCAGTGTCTCAAAGCGCTGGCCTACTTGCATTCCCAGGGAGTGATTCACAGGGATATAAAATCTGATTCGATTCTGTTGGCTTTGGATGGCAGGGTGAAGTTATCCGATTTTGGTTTCTGTGCTCAGGTGTCCCAAGAACTACCGAAGCGGAAATCTCTGGTTGGTACCCCCTATTGGATGTCCCCAGAAGTAATTTCCAGATTGCCGTATGGTCCAGAGGTGAGTAAAGTAACAATAGCTTTATTGCTAGCTAAAATATTTGAAGGCGTTGAACTATATTGTTCGTTCATATGTAGATAGGGTGAGAGGACAGCATAAGGCTTCTTTCCTTCAAGGGCACTGTTAATTTGATTTTGAGGAAGAATACTTTGGGGAGAATAAAACTTTGCTTTCATGGGACAGACTAATAATTTTCACAATATAGACTTCTTTTCCAATACAACTGTTTCCTCTGTTGGACTGGATACTGCTTTTCAAAAGTAACGGGTCAGTGTATTGAGAGAAAGGTATATATCCGTTATTTTTATTTTTCAACCTCAAGATTTATGATGCACTGTTTGGAACCTTTGTTCCAAACAGTGTAATGAATATTACTGGAGTTTTTTTCCAACACCAAATCGTTATTTTCAACACCTCAACACGTGTTGCGATCACCAAGTGATCATCTTGAAAGAGGAAGATTAAAACTGTTTTAATCTTCCTCTTTGAAGATGATCACTTGGTGATCGAAAGACGTGTCGAGGGAAAAAACTCCAGTAATATTTATTTATCCTCAAGATGCCAACTTGGTTGGTGAAACAAGTGTCGAGAAAAGTATTCCAGCTCTGGTATTTGAGAAAAGTACTTGTTCTGGATTTCTTTTATGCCAGAGGTTCAAGTTCAACCTTCTTTATGTAACATGGTTCTTTTTACTACGAATATGGCAGATATAGTAATAATTAGATGATAATATACCTAATTATAGAATTGATTTGTAAGAAAAAAATAGCTGAATACGGAGCAATTGAAGTATTTAGTACACTTGCAAACCAAATCAAATTAATGAAAGGTATTCATTACTATTCCCTTGATGAATACCTCAGAAGAATAGCCCTCTAATTTCCCACCCTTAACTTTTTAATGCAGCAGATTGTATGAATCCATATTAAAGTTTAATACTTTACTTTTATAATATTATTGACTTTATCTGAATCTTCAAATTTGGAATGTTTACTTTTTAAGAGTGTGTGCATGTTCACCCCCAAAATAGTAACAGTCCTTTCATGAAAATACTACCTGCATGAAATTCGCAGGGTGTGCTGGGAGAAATCTTAAAAACATTTCAGATTAATACCATCCATTTGCAAAGGGATGAGGGGGTGTAATCCATCCTCCAAATAATAAAAGTCACCATTCATATTTGATTGTAGATAATAAATTATTAAGTCAATTATAGAGTTGTTAGATTATGTAATGTTTTCAGACATATGCCTAATTGGCTTTTGATTGAAGGTTGTAAAAAAATTGACTTCAAAACCATATAGAGTAATTTCCTGCTGGCAGGATTAAAATGTCAATTCAGTATATTTATGAAAATACTATGCTGTTCAGCCTTTGAACAAATCAAAACTTTACCTATATTTTATTCCTTCAAGGTTGACATTTGGTCACTTGGTATAATGGTAATAGAGATGGTGGACGGAGAACCGCCATTCTTCAACGAACCCCCCCTCCAAGCTATGAGAAGGATTCGAGAAATGCCTCCCCCGAAACTGAAAAACGCTCACAAAGTATCGCCTCGTTTACTATCGTTTTTGGATAAGATGCTCGTTAGAGACCCCGCTCAGCGTGCTTCTGCCCAAGAATTGCTAGCGCATCCCTTCTTGAGACAGGCAGGCCCTCCTGCTCTGCTCGTTCCCCTGATGCGAGGAGCGAAACATACGAATTACTCATAGAGATGTACTTACGGTAAACATTGCATATATGTCAATACTTAACTAGGTGAGTCTTAGATGTAAGCTTGTAATGGTTACTTTAGTTGTAATGCCAAATATTATATTTTGATGTAATTTTAGATATCTTAGCGTAAGAAGTTGAAATCAAATGACTATATTTTTCGTTGACACTCTAATGTTTAGATAAGTTTTATTAAGAATATCATATTTCATGTACAGCAGTAATTATCGTATTTTTGATTGAGTTTTATAAAAATTAAATCGTGCTACTATGATTTCATAATTACCATTCAAATTTTGAGGACCCTTTGTTTTGAAAGTAAAATATTTTTTGTATATAATTTGAAAAACACATTTTTATAGTAATTTGATACTTACAAAATTATTATAAATAGTTTCAAACGTATTATGATATTATACTTAATTTGATCAAATAAAACCAAAACCTTTTTTCTATGTAATTAATCAACAGTGGATCTGAAATTATTATCTAATTTCAACTTGATCTCGAAATTTCATCATAAAACCTGTTGGCTGTTGATATTTTTTGTTTTTATTATCTCATGTTTTACAAACTTATACACTAGCTTTATATGTATTATACTACTTTAACTCATTTACATGATCTGCTTGTCATATTTTTAGTTCTAATTTTCTTTAATCAATGTTCTGATTGGGCAAAAAATAATATTACTTTCCTTCAACTTGTGTAAGCTCAATATGATTAATATTGAGAGGTATATTTGAAGGTGATTGACAATGTTTCGTGATGAATTTCACTAGTTCGGACTTCCATTGTCTACTATATAAAATGATTTGAAATCCCTGAAACAAGTAAAAAGAATAATTAAAAAAGAAAAGCTGAAAATAACAATTATATTAAGCAAAAATAAACCTGAAATGAAATGATAGTGAGATAACCTACAAGTAAAAATATAATAATTGAATAAATAAAAAAAAAATTCAAGGAATGAAAAAAGAAAATAATAAAAAAGTGTAGAGATTCCAAGTCACGTTAGTTCACGACGTTTCGATTGTTGGTATCTACAATCGTCTTCGGGTGATGACTGGACTGATTCCTCCGAAAGATGACTATTTTATAGGTCGTTGAAATACTTTCACTTTCTCTGCTTTCCATTTTCCGCTTCACTGATTCCGTGAGAGATGACCGTTTTGGCGGGAGTTGGTCATTTTTCGTTTGATGATGGGTTTCCATATGTTTCGTATATCTACGCTGGCCTGGCTGAATACGTTGTTGGACAACATATATGCGGCTTCCTTAAATTTTCTCCTGAACCAATGTTCCTCTCTGTGCAAGATCTCAGCTTGGGACCACTCGATGTTGTGGATGGAAACCCATCATCAAACGAAAAATGACCAACTCCCGCCAAAACGGTCATCTCTCACGGAATCAGTGAAGCGGAAAATGGAAAGTAGAGAAAGTGAAAGTATTTCAACGACCTATAAAATAGTCATCTCTCGGAGGAATCAGTCCAGTCATCACCCGAAGACGATTGTAGATACCAACAATCGAAACGTCGTGAACTAACGTGACTTGGAATCTCTACACTTTTTTATTATTTTCTTTTTTCATTCCTTTAATTTTTATTTATTCAATTATTATATTTTTACTTGTAGGTTATCTCACTATCATTTCATTTCAGGTTTATTTTTGCTTAATATAATTGTTATTTTCAGCTTTTCTTTTTTAATTATTCTTTTTACTTGTTTCAGGGATTTCAAATCATTTTATATAGTAGACAATGGAAGTCCGAACTAGTGAAACTAGTGGAAACCTTCTGCGTAGACTGAATGTAACACAAACACCGTTCCTACTCACCAGAACTGCAATACTTTTCCCAACGTGCTTTTCACCAGTCAACCAAGTTGGTTACGTCAGGAAAGAGCTATTATGTTGAGATTGAACTAGCTGAACTACTGATAATTTAGTATAGTTCATCTCCTGATGAGCATCAGCTGGTTTGGTGAAACTATTGTCGTGAAAAGAGAAGCAGTTCTAGTGAGTAGGGGCTGTGTTTGCCTTCGAATTATTCATATTGATCATTTTCATTTCATTAACACTTTCAGTATCAAAATGTTTGCAATTTTATGGGGTTTATTCATATCAACTTATGCAGTGTGACCTATTTTTAGAAAATTTTAGAAACACCTCTGTATCTTTAGGGTCTTGAAGACTTGTTTTAATAAACACTTTAAACTGATAATATAAGTGTCGTATTTAAGAATGATGAAAGGTTTGTTTATTTTACAAAATTAACATGTCAAAAATAACATTTCAAACACTTATGCAAACTTGTTTCCTCCTTTTCATGAAAGAGGACGTGTGCCTCTCCACTCCCAGGCGATTTGGGTGAAACTGGTGACACATGTGAATCTTCTATTTGTGCCATGTGCCAGTATAAGGACGTCTGCAGTATGCTGTAGTATGTCCGCTGCATAATTGTTCATATCTAATCCATCTAGAGGAAATTCGATGGCAACAATTAGCTTGCCTCTAAATCTTTCTGTTAGAGAGAATATGAAGGCCATGACTCTTGTAGTTTTCCACTGTCACTCAATTTTTCGTCAATCTCTATCAGGATAGGTTTAGATTTCTCATTAACCCTTTCGCTGCACATAGACCGAGAGTCGTCTCTCGTACAGTTGACAGTTTTTCTGGCGTTTGCGAACATACTCGTCTGGAGCAGTATAGTCCAATTGGAGAAATTTAGGGAGAAATTAAATATGTTATGTCACCGAAACAATGTTTTATGATAGTGAATCATTTATTAAAATAACAATTAAAGTTGAGCATTATTTATTTCCCTGCAATGCAAGCTCACATATGTACCACGTTGTTATCGGCGCGCCGTAGACAATTTGCACGAAAAGGGCCGTTGCCGGCTCGTCGCCACACTACAAAATAAGTTGCCGCGAGAATTTGCGGCTGGAGCAGTCAGATCTTATTTTACTTTGAAATGCGAGTTTTCTCGTCAGGAGCAATAGAACGGCAAACGAGAATACTCGTCTTGAGCAGCAAAAGGGTTAATTCTGTTAATGTCATCGTGTTACCCTTCTAAAAGATAACGAAAGAACTCCTGGGTGTCTTGATGTGCATAAGACATGAATCAAGGGGCAAAACTCTGAATCTGACTTTTTAGGAAACTGTTCACAACTCTATCAGATGAATCTCCTAACCACAATTCCTTGATAACTTCTGCGAATGCTTTGATTGAAGCACCCTCCATACTAGATATACTAGTATTGATATCTTTCATGTGTTCAGCCTTTTTCAAACATTCTAGTAACCATCTCGTGTTTGATAAACATTAGATTACACTGTTCGTGAAACAGGTGTTGCCAATATTTTTCCATTCATTAAACTCGAGAGTTTTGACTGTAGACTATCACTGGTCTAGTTTTGTTGTAACTGTTGATGATACGTTCGCTACTGCTGTTTTCTTCCGAGTAATCACGGATGTGATGATTCTCCCCATCATTGAATCGGCGGTATGAGGAGTTTGAAGGTATACTGCTTGAAACTGAATTTGATATATTTATGGTAGATTTTTCGAGTTTGTGAGACAATGATAATTCCAGAACTTGTTCAAATTTCTCTGCATCTTCTGAGAAAATTGGGACAATGTCAATTTACCTAACCGGTTTTGGGTGAAACACAGAAAATTTCTATTTGATTTTTTATCTGATTTCAACTACTACTTATTTTTCTACCAGTATTCAGGCAGCTTTATAATTCAAACAGAGTGTTTGAAAATTTTATTTTATGTGATGAAATTTCATAACATCTAATTCTAATATCTAATAAAAAAGTTTGTAATAAAAATTCTTCATTTCCGTGTTTAGTAAAGACACAAAGAAAACCATTTTGTTTTTTGAAAATAATAATTGTTCAATCGGAATAGACATTTTAAATTTTGTCTCCTGCTAGACATTTCATTACTTGATAATGACAAAAAAAGAAGGTTGAAATCGGTTTATAAATCAAAATGAATGTTTTCAATCTGATTGGGTCACACTGTCATTTCAAGTATTCAACACCCCAAGTATAAAGACATAAAGTGTACTTTTTTGTAAATAATTTACCCCTTACAGTAAATTTATATGATTTTCAGTTGAACTGCCAAGAAATTCAAACTGTTATATTATTCAATATTATGTTGAAATTGCCTTGTTCAGTGGCAGTTTGAAAAATTGACAGCTCATGTTGATGTTCCATACTATCTCATATGTTTTTGAATTTTCTTTCAAGATTTTTAGAATAATTGGTTTCGAAAAATCCATTCCAAGATTATTATTTTTTGCCCACTTTACAATCTTATGTAGTAGTGAGAATTCATGAATATACCTTCCTGCTTTCTTGCATGATTACTCTAGCGACCAGTATTAATGTGTCTATAAACCGTCCGAATAGTGCCTTTAGGCTTCATATACACGCTTGGTCTCTTTCAACTTTTTTGACAGAAATAATATTGTATATTGGTTCATGTTGAACAAATTTCAAGAAAAAGTACCTTGGTAGGTGGAATTGGAACCCATAGCGTATTAAAAGCATTTTTTCCGTGCCTGAACAAAATTGCTGTTTCTCGACGCAAGTTTCACTAACGAAGTGCTGATGATGCTGACTCGTTTAGCGAAAAGTGCATCAGAGACAGTATTTTGTTCTGGCTTAGGAAAAGTGTTTTTAATGGGTGAAAAGTACTTTTCATATCGAAATTGTGATCTATAATTATTATGTGACATAAAAAAGTGTCGTCTCACTGTTCCCTGTCAGTATATTTTTGTTTGGAGAATATTTTTCCAGGCAGCTTCTATACATACCTTGTTTGAATAGGAATAAAAAAAGATTAACAATTTATAAACTATGTTTCTTTCTAGATTGGAGTTGTAAGATATGAAAATTCAGAAATCTCAAAACTCTGTAAGTCTGAAATGTTTTTTAACAGTAATTTCAGTTTATTTCTCCATTCATAAACTTGGGAAACTGGAAAAATATCTTCCACTCAAATGTTCACGTGTATAATGAACAAACAGGTTGTTATATATTTTTTGTTGATCAATGTCTAGAGCGCCCCGTGTCTCAGTGCAGCTAATGATCCTCATTTTGTTGATCTATTTATGTATAGAGAAGTGTCATAATACACTTTATTTTTATTATACAAGTTGTTTTTTTCTTTCTTTATTTTACCTGCAACCTTGAAAAATGCTTTAATTCCTCACATTACTATGACCTACCAGAGGTCTTTTATACATATCCCTGATATAATAATAATAATAAATATGCTTTATTGTCCAAAGACAAAGCTTTGGTTCACTAGGTATTTACATTTCGAGTTATATTTTCCATTGTTTTGCTAAAAGAAAACCCTTCAAGTATAGCCAAATACCATAATAATCATATACAATCCTACATATGAACCAATAAGAATGCTATCCCAATATACACTTATAGCCCGAAAGAAAATACATATATTGATACCATTCACGTACAGCCAAATACCACAATAATCATATACAAACATACATATGAAACATACACACACACACAAAAATAATTTTTAAAATTTCAAAATAATGTATGAAAACACAAATATATGTATAAAATATGATAAAAAGGTATTGTCATAAAATTCTTGCAAACTATAATAGAACCTCTCGATAAGAAAATCCTTAGTTGATTTTCGAAAGTCGATACAGTTTACTATGCATTTCAGGTAGTTAGGA